ATGCTATAACCGGATGCCAATTCTTAGGCAGCTGACACTCCACGTCTTAGCCTTCAGCTGCTTACAGGAAGTTAGCGAGTTCGGGTCTATTTCCCAAGCATAAAATAAGACAGGAATACCCAATAGGCTCTTAACAAATGTATCGATACAGTATTAAAATCGGGTACTCGATTGCTATTCGCCATCAGTTTGAGTTCCATGATTACGCAGCATTTCATTGTGTTGTAAGAAAAATAAGCCTAAGATCCCTCGTGAGGCAGTATTGGTAATGTGTTTCATGTAAGCTGACAGTGATGTAGTATATAATTGTTTGAACTTCCATATGCAGAGATTCATGGCGCTTTGCCATGTCTCGGACGAAGATCTACAATGAAACTGCGGTCAGCATTTTAGTAACAGGTTGACTTGATTGGATGAGCTCATAGGGCGATGCAAGGAGGATCTACAGACCTCATGTCATGGGAAGTAAGCTTAACTAACTCCAACGAATCATTATTCACATGGCTGCTTACACCTTCTTTCGACCCCACGATGAAGCAACAATCTCCTCAGCCAGGCGTCGAAGTCGGCCCTTCCGTATCAAATTTTCAAGCTTTGATCAAGTATGACGAGAGGCTCAGCTCCCGAGCTCCAGGCTCTCGATGCTGCGATATCTATAAAAGAGGCATACCTTTCTCAGAAGAATAACTTCATTTCAACGCACTCTATCACTTGAAATCTGAACTGAAACCGCCTATTTAACGCACAAACCAACACCGATTTATTTTCACAATCATGAAGGTCATTTACACTGCCCTCTTTGCTCTCGCTGCCACCGCAGTCAATGCCTGTGACAGTACCCTTTGCGAGGGAGCTACTGTTCTTCGAGTTGTTCCTTGTACCAAGGAGTGCATGGGGCGACCTTGCCACCTTTATGATTGCCCCGACAGTCCATACACGGTAAACAAATCACAGCAATTCACATGACGATTGTCAGCTAACCCCCATTCCAGTACATCTGCGGAAAGGACAAGACCAAGTGTGATGAGATTTGGTGAACGATAGCTGAAATGGATCAGGCTTGGAGATGTTTGATTCCGGGAAACTGTCTTGTTAGAAGAACAGGATGTTAGAAAAAGAGAATATGGGCACAATTCATACAGCACTAGCAACTGGGAGCTCAACGATCTATCAATACTAAGAATATTCTCGTATTTCCCTCGCTTTATTATATACGCCTTTGTGACAAACTCAAGAGAGTCACTAGCCCGCTCATAAATAAGATAACCTTGCTGAACCAAATTGCCTATCTTGCCGCATTTACCGTTTCTCAAAACCCAATCATTGTGGAGATGGCGTGGTAGAATAAGTAGCGATTAGTTGCTGGCCGTTGGCGCAGAAATCAGACGTGAGAGAGAGGTACATGGCGCACACTGAGTTCGCACGCCAATTCGAGAACATGCAACTAGCTGTGCATATAGCATACTTTTTGTGAAGAACTGCTTGCAATTTATTTATCTCCGTTGTATTCGTAGCGTCTAACAGTATTGCCGTATGCTCTGTTGCTCCTCTCATCTGGCCATGGCCCCAGCGAAGTCATAGCTTTTCTTCTTCCAGTGTTTTGTTCCCAAGATCTTCATGAGCTGATATGGCTAAATTGAGTTGAGAACAGGGGACTTTGTGAAACAACTCCTTGTTATATGCATATTGTGATGAAGAGAATTTTACTAGCGAGCTTTGAAGTGCAGCCAGTCTCTACACGCATGCCTTTTGGAACCTGCTTTGTCTAATCATTTCTCGATCGCTTGGTTCAAAACTTTATTACTTTCCTGCAGAATAGTGCAGTTCTAAATAAGGAGGAATCAGCGGCGAAGTATCGGAATCTCGCAATTTCTGGTTTCCGAGCATCGGTACTCGGTGTTGAACAAGTGCGGAGGAGAATGTTGTGATGCTTCGTAATGACGGCATGATGATGTCAGCTAAAAAGGTCTCACAATAGGTAATCAACAACGTCACCATTAAAGCTTCGACATCAAAGCATCAAAACTCATCATTTAGGAGTTCACTTCACAGTTGCACGTCTCAGATATCACCAATCTCTACTGTACGTACTTGACTCGGGCCCAGGCCAGATCTTTCTGCACACCAACTTCGCACTGACTCGCCGCGATCAGACTCGACAATCACCCCCCAATCCAGAAAAGATGGTGCACAACATCCGAACGTCAGTATCCCCTCAAACCCCCCTGGCTACTTCTTGGAGATGCTGACAATTGCTAGCAAGGACGAGTTCCAAGATGCTCTGAAGAAGTATCCCATTGTCGTCGTGGATTTTTACTCCACGCACAGCGCAGAGTCAAAGCACATTGCTGCCACATTCGCTCAGTGAGTCTCCCTCATTCCTCTCCAATAAATTCCATACTGATGATTATAGCGCCTATGAGTTGGACAAGTTCAAAGATTTCCGATTCGTCAAGGTCGACATCAACGACCTGAAGGGTCTAGCGGAGGAGCTTGGTGTTTCGCAACCTGCGACATTCCACATGTACAAGAACGGGGAGAAGATCAATGATCTGCAGAGTGAGCACAAGGAGGATCTGATTCAATTCTTGGAGACTGGCTTGTAATCGCATGGCCGCCATTGCCAAAGGTGGATGAGCAATGGTTGCGAAAATGAGCCACTTCAAACATGTAGCACAAGACGCCATTAATTAAAAAACAATACGGGTTTCATTACAAGCATTATACAACATCCCTTTCCTCCGACGAAGATCTCGTTGCTGTGAAAAGACCGGAATTATCGTGTTACTGTTGATCGGATTCCCCCGCTGGGCGTTGCTCTGAAAACGGGGTAACTCAACGCTACACAAAGTCAAAACACAACTCTAAATCATCTCCCGAGTATCTAGTCCGTGTTTATAGCAATATGGTAACAAAGCGCTGTTTGAAGGTTCTTGTGCCAATCCATTTCAATCTGAAAGAGTCACAATATCTCAGCTGATCAAGTGACATGTCGTCTTTGTCAGCATACCCCACTACGTCATTGAAACATCTCAACTGAACGGGTCTTTCATCCCCTTGGCGTCTCATCCTCAAAATGGCGACATCAGAACATACCAGCAAAGGCCGCGTCGTCGGCGACTTATCGTGTCAATCAGATTCATACCTCAAGACTCTGGAAACAGAAGTCATCTCGTGCGAAAAGGCGACGAAGCATGCGCACAAATCGAAGAAGAGTAATGGACATTCTCATTCGCATGATGAGTGGTTAATCGAGTGCGCCGACTCGGTGCTGTTCCCAGAAGGTATTACACTCCCTTTTCTCTAAGTAATATAAGACCTTACTGACATGAGCTCAGGCGGCGGTCAACCTTCAGATCATGGCACAATCACGCCCCTCTCAGGCACAGATCAAACCCCCATCCCCATCAAGAACGTTCAGCGCCAAGGTCTCCGCTGCATAATCTACTCCCCTAAGCCCCTATCCCCCGGTGACAGAATCCGTCAAGAAGTCGACTGGAAGCGAAGATGGGATCACATGCAGCAGCATACAGGTCAACATCTCCTCTCCGCTGTTATGCAGAACCGTCATGATCTCAAGACTCTTGGTTGGGGAATGGGTGCTGATGAGAGCATGAACTACGTTGACTTGCAGCGAAAACCGACAGAGGAAGAGATTCAGGCTATTCAGAATGAGTGTGCAGAGTTGATTCGGGAGAATCTGTCAATAAAGGTTGAGACGCCAGATGACGCGAAGCATGATAAGCTCCCTGGTGATTACGACAAGTCCGATGGTGTTGTGCGCGTTATACACATCGGAGACCTTGATACAAACACGTGAGTCTACGAATCCTTCAGTCGAATTGACTACTAACTGCTCCAGGTGCTGCGGAACTCATCTCTCCCAAACATCTCACATCTCCCTCATTATCCTCGGCTCAACACAATCCGTTCACGGCAAGAACTGCCGTCTATCCTTCATAACCGGTGATCGCGCCATCAAGCTCGCAACATCATCCGTCAGTGCCATCAGCTCCATCGCGAAACTCCTTTCGTCTAGCAACGTCCCGAGTGAAGTCGTCTCTCGAACTACAGCTCTTTCCGACACAGTCACCGACTTGAAACGATCTGAGCGGAAGCTATTACTCGAGGTTGCAAAGTTTGAAAGCGAGCAGGCCATCCGCACCATTGTGCAGAACAGGATGAATGCGTATATCCACCGTTACGACGGGAATACGGACTTTATTAATAAAATTGTTGGTGAGACGAGGGATGTTCTCCAGGGCACGGGCTTTGTGGTTGTTATCGCCATTGGGGAGCCAAAGGGTAGTGGACCGGTTGTCATTGTTGGTGATCAAATTGCGGTTGATGCGATGGCACAGAAGGTCAAGGTAGTTATCCAGGATATCAAGGGCGGAGGTGCAGGAGGTAAATGGCAAGGCAAAGTGAAGGAGTGGACGAATGCGCAACTTCTGGCGCTGAAAGAGGTCGTTGAGTCGTGAGACTCTGTGTCGTATCTATGGTCTAAATCTATGAAGCTCTATGTATCTCGTCCTAAAGAAACAAGTAGACCAGTCTTCATCCTCTCTCATCCCCTCTCCCATCCTCAAACTCAAATCAACTGAAGAGGCTTTGGCCCAACCATCCGGTTCAGCTGGTACCCTCGTCGCTTCGGCGTCGACTGCGTCATCTCAAACGCCTTTCGGATATGCCCAGCATTAATAGCAGGTCGCTGCGGGTTCGACATGAGGAACAGGCCCTGTCTTCTAGCCTGGAGGGCTGCTGCTGCCGCCTCATTCTCCTTCCCGCCCTGACTAGTGATCTCCTGCGCCTGGATCGACAACGCCTTGTCGGTGAGGCGCTTAACCATTTCCACGGCGATAGAGCCCAGAATCTCAATGGCGTCGTCTTTCTTGCGGAGGTCAGCGACTACGCCGATGCAAGCCCACTCGCGGAACCTGGCTTCTTTTGCGCGGTGAAAGGAGGCCTTTCGGTAGGAGCACCATTTGGTGTACTCTTCGCTAGACATCTTGCTGGTGACTTCGTCGGCCCAGATGAGGCGCTCGCGGGATTTCTCGCTGATTCTGGACAGCATCAGCGTCACCGCCGGGAGGTCGAACGGCGAACATGAACTCTTCGTCCCAGGGCATGAGAGCAGCGGAAGCCTCGGTGGTCTTCTTGGCGGTGTCTTCAGTCGCGTTGTCGGTGTCGGAGAAACTATCTTCGGCATCGTTCTCGGGCTTATCCTTGTCATTTGTTGTCTTTCTGGCTTCCCCGCGGAGTTTCTTCCACCGGATGACATTCTGTAGGCGAGTCATCCGGGCGGTGTCGTGGCGGAGCTGGAACAGGATATCCTTGATTGCGATAAACTTCTCGCCGCGTCGGGCGGAGAGCTCTTTGGCCTTGGTCAGCTATTGATATGTTAGCTATATCTCGAAGAGAGAGGGAGTCGGGATACTTACCAGGTGGATGATCTGGTCGCGAACGATCTGCTCGACGAGGGCGGCGGTTTCGTTGGCGATTTCCTGCGTCTCACCGGCGACGAACATCATCTGTTACTGTTAGCAACGGAACGATAACGAAGAATAAGTAACGCACCTGCTGGATTTCATTGGTGAACTTGGGTTGAAAAGGCGCCATGATGGGCAGCGCGATGATGGGCAGCGCGCTCGAGGTAGTCCTTCGAGGATGTTGTGAGGTTGAGGAGGAGATGACACTCGAACTTATGTCGGTATCCTTGGGTGACAAGGGGAGACCTGTTTTTCTTCACAGGACTTTGATTTATCACCTTTTAGAACGCGTCTCAGTTCATGGCGTCCCTTTGTGGTTCACAGCGGATGGCCGAAGTCACGAGGGTTGGTGGGGAGCTCTGACCAGTATTTTCAACAAAGAGACAGCACTGCTCGACGCGGCCAGAAGAAGAACAGACGCCGGGTCTCTCCTCATTGTTCCTAGTTATCCTTTGTCAGTCCTATTGCTGGAATTCACAGCTAACCTATTGTCCCCCAAAAGTCGAGCGTCAATGAGAAATGCGGATCATGGTCATTTGACAGTTACCGTAATGCTATGGACATGATTTCGTCTTCCGGTCAAAGGCTGTTGCATCCCACTTTCAGAAGTTGCCCGAGCTATTAACCTCCAAACTTTGGGCTCAAGATCAACTGCGACAGTGAACTTTTGCCATGCCTGATCTTCTTTGTTGTCTACCTTTCCTCGAGTCCAGCTCTGTCCCTCGTCTTTACTGACTTCAACCACAGAGACACGGTCATGACTCCAAGCCCAACCTTCAACCCATACCAATCCTGCGGAGATGACTGCTGAGTCCGCGGGCTTCGTTATCATCGAGTTCACTTCAACTTCCCATACCGGCCGCATTCTCTCACCTTCAGGATCTGTTGGGTCTTTCTCATTGTAAAGAACAGCAGCGAAAGGTCCTGGGGCGCGAGTCTCCTGCAATGAGAGCCTACAGAGCCACTTTGTCGAATTTGTGCCAAACCAACCCGGTACAATAAGTCTCACTGGCCCGCCTCGTTCTTTGCTGAGAGACTCCCCATTGATCTTCCATGCAAGGAGGACTTCTGGTCTTTGAGCTTTCGCTACAGGTAAGTCTTTCTGATAGCGGTCTGCTTCGTACTCAAAGAACTTTCCATGATCAAGACCTTCTGACCAAACAAAGCATGCTTCAGGAAGAGGCTTTGATAGAGCGAGGATAGTCGAAAATCGAACGCCAGTCCATACCACGTTACCAATTCGCCAAGGGTTACTCGTTGGCGGTTTCAGGGGACTTCCGTAGCATTCATGAAAGGACGTGACTGAAGTCTGAGGTAACACCTTGAGTTGTGCCAAAGAGAGGGCAAACGGTTTCCAAACAAGGCCATCAACTACCAGCAGCCACTTTGCGTTATCGACTACAGCAGCACCCATATGTATCGTTTGGAATAACTGGTCATCTGGTGTGATAAAAGACGAAAAATGGTGAGGTGTCGGTGGAGGGCGCAGGAAGAAGCCCTCGGGGTCAATGGATGTACAAGCCTCTCTCTCAGCACCGGCTGCTGGTACTGGGGAAATACCATGGCTCATGGGATTCGCGATGACTGATTCCATTGGCAAGGGTCATGCAGAGACGGGAGTGATTCATGCGTTTGCCGAATGGTGTCATCTCAAGGTGGCATGTCTAACGGGTTCCCATCCGCGATCCACAAGATTCCAACTACCGAGCTTCGGGAAACTGCATCTTCTTAGATCCCGTTCCCGGCCCCGAACCTCAACAACACTCATCACGTGCAGCAATGCCTGATCCGGTCTGGTGGTCTAGTGGTATGATTCTCGCTTAGGGTAAACCCTACAGCTCAGCTTGCGAGAGGTCCCGGGTTCAATCCCCGGCCAGACCCTTCCTTTTGCTCTCAAGACTTCTGTGATATCGTGAAGCTATCTCTTTTTGCTCCTGGATGAGGTTGGAACGTTGCAAACTCTGAAGCCATGCACCTGGTTGGTTGAGAGGAAGATAAGATAAGTAATCTTATCGCCTACAGTACCCTGGACATGTCATCAAGTTTGGGACGAATATCGTTTGCACACCCACCGTATTGGCCCTGAGAACGCAAGACTCTTCTTAAAAATCTCTACTCTCTTTCTATTCACTCAATCCTAAGTTCTATAATCTTATGAATAGGGGTTGTGTGTTGACAACTGACTAAAATTGTCCAGTCTGTTATTTACACCAAATCAGTGTTCCACCAATGCCAATATATACATAAGCATGTGCAACATTATGGACTGCCAATGACTCAGAAGATACGACATTTGACTGATAGGGCACTAGTATCTCTCCAAAGCAACTATTCCTCCTCAATTCTTTCCATTCCATGTACAAGAAAACACAGGGACCGTCTCCCTAAACTGGAATGGGGCCCGATTGGGCCTTGCACCTCAACCAATCAGAGCCACGCCCGGTTAGCTCAATCGGTAGAGCGTGAGACTCTTACGAGTACGCGATCTCAAGGTTGCGGGTTCGACCCCCGCATCGGGCTGTTCCTATAAACGATTGCGAGCAATAGCGAGGCATCTCTTTTTGCATTTATCTTCTACTCTGCTGGTACGTCAACGCCAGAAACTGACTTGCACATGTCGAGCAACTCTTCCTGCTTGTTCACATTGTCTGCTCCCGGATGAGGTCTGCTCTCTCCGCTGGTTGTAACGAACGCACCAGACGTAGCCTTAGTCAGGGATCCTTCACCAGCGACCCAGCTTGCCAATGCCTTGGCTGGCTCACTTAATTGAACTGGTGCTGAGCTTCCTCCCATTTTGGTCTTTACCCACCCAGGATGCATGCTGAGGACTTGGATATCGGTCCAGCGTCGTGCAAAGGCTTTCGCGAGCATGGTGTCGTGAAGTTTGGTGTTGCCGTAAGAGTGCGATTGAGTCGCGTTCTTGAGAGTCTCATCACCGCTGTAGTGACTATCTGAACTCATGAACAGAAGTCTACTCTTGGGCTTATCCATGAGACACGTGAGGATGTATGGTGCGAGGGTGTTGACTGCGAATACAGCTGAGATCTTGTCCGAAGTGATTTCCCTTGATGCTGTCGAGCCATAGCCGATGCCTGCGTTGTGAACGATGACATCAAATGGCCCAGCGTTGTTTGCGTCCTTGGCGAGCTTCTTGGTCTCTTCAATTGACGATAAGTTGCCAACGAGAACGGCCGCGGCCTTGGGAATGGCGGCTTTGGCTGAAGCGGCGCGATCGGCGTTTCTGGCGTGGAGAACGACCTGGTGGCCTTGCTCGGCGAGGAGCTTTGCGGCAGCTTGACCGATACCGTCAGTCGACCCTGTGATGAATACGCGAACCATGTTGTTGATATTGGTGAGATTCCCAAGTTAGAATGTGATGAGTTGCGAGAAGTCTGAAGCGCTGTTGCTTTTCAGCGTTGCATGATATCACAAAGCCTACAGCTGGTTACGTCATCAACTCTAGCATCCATCACTGACGCAAATTCCACGTGACAAAACAAAGAACTGTGGTTCTGCAGGAATCAGGAAGACTGCCTAAATACTACCAAAAGCATATGGAACTCCACTTTCACATTCATGAAGCCCTCACGAACACAAATAGTTACAAGCTTCGCTTTTTAGGAAACGCGGGGCGGTACGGTGGCGTAAGTACTGTGTCAAGATGCGCGGGCTTTTCAATTGATCGCGAATAGCTACTTTATTCGGACTGTCGGTTATACGTCGGTTCGGACATCGAAGAACGCTATATAATATTCCCCAGATGTGATGATGAACCTACTGATGACCTCCATCTTCGGCGACAAGCGCCGACGCCGAAATGCGGAGGTTACATAGCTTCTTTTCCCCAGCCGATCTTCGCAATTATCTACCAGAACAAGGGATTGACTAGGCCGTATAGTCTTGTTATTGCTATTGGCATACTGGTTTGCCGAAACCCTTCTTGTCATTTGCAGATGAAACGTATAAATATGTTGTGATTTGCGGTGAAGCCATTCTAAAATCGGGGATAATTTCAGCCTTGGGCAGTCTAAGACACGATGGTGTCGTCGATGATCAAGAAGCTCTTGCACCTGGCGACTGTAGCTATATCTCCAGTTATTGCCAAGCCTCATTCAAAATGCACAGCCGGAAGCTTACTGATCACTCACGGGACCATCTCCTCAGTCCAGCACAACGTTGCTGGCGATGTCATACCCCTGCCTAACACAGTAGCATCCTGCGGAGGTCCAAACTTCAAAGCTAACATTACAGCAGACCTCTGCAGAATTGTTGTCAACGTCTCATCAAGCGACTTCAGCTCGGTCCGTATCGAGGCATGGCTTCCGGATGACTGGAACACACGTCTACTGGCCACAGGAACAGGCGGTATCGGGGGATGCATTGACTTCCCGTCTGTGCAGAACGGGGCGCAACTAGGCTTTGCCAGTTTTGGTACGAATACGGGCCACGACGGCGAGCAAGGCTTCGAGTTCTTTCTCAACCAACCAGGGGTCATCAACGACTTCGGACATCGAAGGATCCACGTTGAAGCGGTAGTCGCCAAGCAAATCGTGCAGCACTAACGGCAGAAAAAGCCCCACAAAGCTATTATCAAGGCTGTAGCACTGGCGGGCGTCAAGGTCTGTAGAATGCTCAGCTCTACCCCGATGACTTTGATGGAATCCTCGCTTGAGCGCCAGGCATTGACTGGCTTCACATTGTGGCGTCAAAAGGTACCCTTACTCGATAGATTAGATAGCCTGATCTGACTTTTGATGCATATGTTCGACCAGAACAGTGGAAAGTGATTGTAGCAAAAAAGATTGAGCGGCTCGATCCTCTGATGGTGTTGAGGATGGCATCATTGACAACCCTTCGGCACATGCCTTCGACCTAGCGATTATGGCCTGTGGCACTGGCCTACTCAACACTTCTCTCTCTCTAAAGCCCCGTCAGGTAGAGTCTGTCAGAGCCGCCTATGGACCTCTGGCAGACTCAGAGGCCAATGTTGTGTACCCAGGATTTGCATTCGTTGCTGACACAACTATGTAAATTTACGACAACTGAAGCTAAGCATAAAGCCCTTATCTCGTTCCTGGGATCTTTTAGCTCTGGGGATAGAGATTATGATCTAATGCATAGATTTAGAGGAACTAGAGCTTAACGCTTAATTATGGTTTTAGCCTGGCGGACTTGGCGCGAGTTGAAAACGTAGAGATGGGGTTGTCAGATCGGCATGCGCGTCCTTTGCGCTGATCAAAGGCGTGACAGCCTCCGATCTAATAGCACAGCTAGTTTCTGCCCCAGGTAAGCAGATGTGATATCTAATTAGCATCCTGTTGAAGGTAGATCTGTTGGAGACAAAGACAGACAAAGGGAGCTGCTCTTGATCTGTCTTACCTAGACCCCACTGTCATTAAGCATGAGGGCTTTTCCTTGCCGATCTCTGTGGTGCAGTCAATAGCCGTAATCGTAAGGCCAGGACGTCAGCGAGCGATCAGATCCTGATACTGGAAGGTTGGCCCATTACCGTCACGGGATTGTTCCCTTTACAGAGAATATAGACACCTTCCTCAATCCTTAGCCCCGCCTCTACCGCCGCAATTACGGAAGGATTTAGTCTACGGAAGGCTTGGGACTAGCTGACGGAACGAAGGCAGAGATTGTGACGCGAGCCAATGAAACTGTCTAGTAATAAAATGGTTGATGTAGGTGGCGGCTGACGAGACATCGTGTTTGTGGAGTCGTTCGTATAACCAAGCGGGCGGCAAGCGATCAACCCCTGTCGAAAAAATGTGGTATGTATGAAATAGGTCATTTCCGTGTCAATCATGGGTTCGGATGTTTGCCGAGTCCCCGGGAAACATAACCACCACGGGAGGGCCCGAGAGAGCCAAGGAAAATCATGCTGTGTATACATTAAAGTTTGAACGGTTCCAAGTTTCGACCTGCCATGGCCTTTTTAGACCCTGTGGCTTGTCCTAATGAATGTTCTCTCCGACGGCCCGCTCGCATTATATGACGGTTAAACAGTTCTAGCTACAAGCTAGCTTCACAACAAGCGCACTTGAATATATCCCGGTCACATTGCGGAGGATTCGAAGCAAAAAAACAGGAAATGACTTCAACTAAAGGGTAATAAGTCACAACACGGTGAGGAACGAAATAGACCAATCAGGCTAGCATGTGGGGGACATCGAACTTACTTTTGGAAAAGGAATCAAGCGTCCAATCGATCGAATTGGCAAATCGTCACTAGAAAGCGTCCGTGCATATATCTGAGAAAATGGCCTAGAGAAGATGCCCATCTCATCATGACAAACCACTAACTACTTGATCTCGCTATTGACAAATTAAGAATAATGAAAATCCCCCACCAGGAACTGACAACAAAGGTATAAGGTGTTGCAAGATGGCGGTTGAACTTGCTTGGCAAATTTCGTCTTTATTGACAAACATGAGGACCTGCACCTGCTCGGAGTAAATCATATCGGCAATGATTCCGACCCATATTGGGCTGACGCATCCGCGAATAAGCCACTACTGCACGATCCTGCAGGATTTTCGCTGAAAACTTGGTCAGAAAATATACCCCAGCGTCAAGGTAGTAGAGACTACAATGATGATAGTAGTTGTCATATGGCCATCCAAGGCGCAAGCAAGCCTTGCTAACCCTTACATACCATCCCTCAATGCCTGTCACCGGATCGAGGACGTGACAGAGGATGACTGGTACACTTTCTGTGAACTACAGGTATAAATACAGCCAGCCGTCTCCACGAAGCAAGAGGCTTTCTATCATCACTCGCAACACTCAACATCTTACCTGAATCACCACTAAGCCTGAACAATGTTTTCTTCCAAGATTGGGAAATTACTTCTGAGCTCTGCCTTGCTCTGGGCGACTGCGAGTAGCCCCATCCATATTTTCCATCCTTCGAGAGTTAACCTGTTCTATTAGACAAGCGCCAGCAACCTCGGTCTTGAAGACTCAGGCACCGCAGCAGGCTGTACAGGCTCATCCGGATGTTGCATTCCAAGCTGCCTGGTTAATGTCTCTGACTTCTGGGGCTGCAACGGGAACGTGGCATTCTCTGGTACTTGCCAGCAGAACTACAACAACCCTTCAGGAACCCAGGACGTTGGCGGCTGCAGTGACGTCCAAGTCACGTTCTTGAGAGATCCCGATGGTAACCCTGTTATCGATCTCTACCACAAGACGGACAAGACCTACGACCGCTACGCGATCAGCAACTGTCAGACTCCTACAGTTGGAGGAGGGCAGTGCGTCCCTAAGGGAGGCGGCTGTGTAAGTTTTAAGAATATGATATGTCTATCAACTAAAAGCTCACATACTGGAATAGGATACCAACATCATCCTTACTGGCGCCCAAGGATAAGAGGCAGTAAACCGAGGGTTTCACAGAAGAAGGAATGGTTAGTGGTTCTTGGTTATAAAGCTACATTCCTATTGGGCACTAAGTAAAGACTCAGTCTTTATATTCTTTATAGTCTTAAGGCATGTAGAGGGTAGATAGCCATATTAGACTATATTCCTAAAATAACCCCAAATTGACTGATATGTAACTGTCTGATAAGCAACTATACGTACTGTTACAATTCTATAAATTGCGTTACGTCTACTTCACAATTTTCCCCACACCACCAACTAACCACATAAGGTACTGACATTTCCAGGATCGAAGAAAACCTTATGTCGCGTCGCTCCCACAGAATTATTATAAGTATATATATACATTCACTTAGCAGTAAATAGAACTTAGCCAATCAGAACCAACCGTCACATGCTGATAGCTCTTGTTCAGACCGTATCGCGTAACGCTGAGCAATACTACCGCAATGTCTGCACCCATTAACCCCGTTTAACAGTAGAATGCTGTTAACAGCACTCCTGCTAACGACAACCACCCACCTACCGATCAGGAGATGGAAGACCATGACGACAACTCGTCTAGTAGCTCTAGAAACACCACCAACGCCGATAGTTGGCGCTGCAAGATTCTTGGAGCATAACCGCCACGCTAGATGTAAAACCCTTGTGTCCGCTGTTGAAAATGGACCGAGATTCTTAATATATTTCTATCCTATATTTCTATCTGTAACTTATAGCTTACTCTTGTAACTTACAGGATAGGATTTTATAAGACTGTTATCAATATCTTCAACCTTATTCAACCCTGTGACATTCATCAGGATATCCAGATCTGCCAACAGTCCCTTCAACACGTGCCTGACTCCATGTTCTCCCATTATACTGAGTCCCCAGATCCAAAGCCTCCCAACAAAAACAAACTTGGCACCCAGAGCGAGTGCTTTAACAATATCAGCTGCTCCCCTAACACCACTATCGAACGTCACAACGATACGATCGCCAACCTTATCAGCAATCTGTTCCAAAGCATCAAGACTCCCGATAGCTCCATCAACCTGCCGCCCAGCGTGATTGCTAACGACAATACCTTCAAAACCAAGATCAGCTGCCTTTTCAGCATCATCGACACGCTGAATGCCCTTGATTAGGAACGGCTTTCCACCGCTGATCTCTTGCCACTTCTCTCGTGCCCAGACAGCCTTTTCCCAAGACCATGCGCGGCCGTGCCAGACATTGTCGATCCAGAGTGCACCGGCTTCGGCGGGCTGCTTCTTTGGATCGATGCCATGGTCAGCTAAACGCTTCTGGAAGACGGGATCCGAGAGACCCAAGTCAGCGCCGATGCCGCGGTAGAATGCGTAGTTGGACGTCGCAACATCGTCATGACGCCATCCAAGCTGCCAAGTGTCTGTTGTTAAGATACAAGCAGAGAACCTGGATTCATGAGCTCGCTTGAGTAGTGACAACGTCAGTTCGTCATCATGGGGCATGTAGAGCTGGAAGAAGCGGGGACCCTCAGGAATGCGATGGCCCTCTTCGCTATTCTGTGCAATCTTCCGACCAGTATCGTTTGCCTCAGCGACATCTTCAATTGGACAGGAGCCCGCAGTTGAGAGACTGTAAGGTATGCCGAGCTCTCCAGCGACCTTGGCCACAGGAAGCTCGCCTTGGGGATGATAGATCTTGTTGATCCCAATAGGCGCAATTCCAAACGGCGCAGAAACCTCATGGCCGAATAAGGTCGTTCTAGTAGATCGTTCATTGGTGTCTACCAGCTGGCGAGGGATGATCTTATGTCGGAAAAAAGCCTGACGGTTTGCAATGTGAGTATCCGACAGGCCTGCGTTGGATGAAGCGTAGAGCCAGCCATTTTCAGTGAGTTTTTTCTTGGCGAGCTCCTCAAGCTTATCGGGGTCTAAGAGTATCAGCATCAATGAGATCAATTGGTATCAGATCATCATACGGGTGTTGAATGGTGGAACTTGGCCTTCATTTAACTTCCAGAAGTTCTCGCGTTGGTATAGTCCCCATGGAGGGGTATCGCGCTTCTTGAGATGTGGCGACCTGGGATCTGACATTCTGAGGCTTCGTGAAACTCTGTAAGAATTATCTTATGGTTTCATTGTTCAGAGATCCGGCTCCTAAATCAAGGTCGTGTCCACTTATAAACCGGTGATCCATATTGATGACGTATATCGGACTTCCGGATATCCGATCGAAAGGCAAGAATGACGAAAAAGTGATATGGACAGTACCTGCAATTATTGGTTAAAGTTGAAATCATGCTGCCAGGCAAACTGATTGATGATAGGCCTATGACTGTTTCTACCATCCTGAAGCTGATTATTAATGTTGATGCTAGGTGCAATCGCCTCTCTACAGGTTCAACCAATGGATGCGTTGACGGTCGCTTGTTAGTATGTTCGAGCTTTGTTGCTGCATACAATTAAAGTCAAAAATAAACTTCATCCATTCTCCGATTGATTATCCAGCAATTGGCAAGCTTAAAAAGGTGCCGTGTTATCCGTGTCCTGCCACGTTATCGCTCATGATTCTGCCTACTCTAATCGATCGATGGTGGTGTTCGCTTGTCTTAATCCGATTGTTTCAGGGTAGCATTTGCCCGTAGAAAGCAAGCAGCTGAACCCCTTCAAGCAACAAGGAGGCGACTACTCGCGCTTTGTTATTGGGCTTTAAAAATCGTGGCTTGAAAAACTGGTTCTAAGTAGTCAGCCGTGCTGCGAGGTGTGTCGGAAGATCTCAAATGGTTGGTGGAGGGGTCTAGCGTCTTCAATGGCCTCACAAGGCGTTTCTGCACTGGCGTTTTGGAGACAGGGGTCATGCCGCTCCCATTTGGAACTACGGAGCTACATATTTAACGGCAGGTTGATTTGCCCTCGGTAATAGATAGTGTGATGATCTGCGCTATATAACATCTGGCTGCTTGCTTGCGATAGCTTCATTCCTCGCGGGCTGACAACGTTGTCAAATCTAGCTGTCCCCTCAATGCAACTGCAAAAATGACCAAAAACCAGATATTGTTCTCGGTCGATAACCAAACACCGTTCACTCTAGTCCCAAACCCAACAACATTCAGTGACTGGGGCGACTTTGCCGCAGGCCCTACAACAGTAAGATTCCGATCAAACGGCACCCCATATCCGTTCTAAAAGGTATCAAGGTCAAACCTTTCCAGAAAGGAGAAGGCGGCCATGTAATGTCTTCGCAATCACCGTTCGTCGGCTCCGCAGGAATCGTTGGATATTCACTCACGAGCAAAAACGGCGCCACCGTTTACATTCGCCTTCTTGCAAGCAACCCTTACCTGAGCGTTCGTGACAACTGGGCGTGCGTGTCATTCGCCTCCTTCGACCAGAGTATCAACCAGGACGCTTACAATCACCATTATTATAACGAACCTCGCCATGCCAGCACGGAATTTGAAGGAAGGACCCTTAAAGTGAGCATCCGCTAGCGCTCACTGAACGGAAGGCTAATGTTGATGTAGCTCACTTCGAATATTGGCCATGCAGACGCGGCGACGGCAACCTTCGTTTTGACTTACGTGTAAGTACCTACTCGATAATCTCTCATAGTCCTCGGGGATTTCACGTGTTCGGCAGTATTAAGGCCATTTACAGGACCCTAGATGTATACCAATCCTCATTTATTAGCCAAGGTTAATAAACAACGTGTCATAAAGTTTAATTCTATTAACTTGAACCTCCTCAGAAGTCACGGGAAGGGATGGTAGAAGCATTGAAGTCAATTAAGTCGTTAATTTCATAAACTAATTTCATATATAAAGTTACAATGTGACAGTCTTTCGATGACCAAGTGCATTCCCAACGACACTGGGTTGGTTTTCTGAATTTTATTAATGCGCCGGACCTGACCAAACTCCAAATCATGTTCAGTTTGGAGCCAACTTGACCAGGCTCTTAACGGGATATACAGACTGTCCTCGAGGACAAGTTGTTTCGCTCCAATCTCTTCCGTTCAGAGGGCTGGTACGGTGACTATAAACCGAACAACACAAGGGAAGATTTTGACATCGAGGGCTTGTACCAGAAGACCTACCGCTACTTCATGGCATTCAGGCCACCACCAGAGATCGGCGGAGCCTTATCTCCAGCTTGCTCCTTCTCGTCGATCAGCCCACCAAGAGGCATCTTGCCCATGGAGGTATCAGCCTGAGAGCCAAGCATTCCACGGTTGGGAGCCTCACGGGGAACGAAGTGCTGATAGTCCGAAGTCATGTCTCTTTTGTTTTGGAGAGAATAGTTGTTCTCGTCGATGGAAGGTTTCTTTCCAGTGGGAGCTTGGTTGCCAAAGAGAGTAGTAGAGCCAGACTGCTTGTACGAACTAGACTGCGTACCAGAATTATCGCTACTAACATGAGGAAACTTTGAGTAGTTGAGTGACTTTCGGTGCTGAGCGTACTCGGGCATATCCTGGTCTTTACTAGGAGGAAAGTTGGAGTTGGTCTTGCTGGAAGGTGAAAAGTCGTCGGTAGTGCCATGGGAGAAGCCTGAAGACATGTCCTTGTTCATGCTAGAACCAAAGCTAGAAGTCTTGTCATCTGGGCGGCTGGAGGAATAGCCAGAAGTAGCTTCCTTTGCCTTGCTGGACATGTAGCTAGGGGTGATATCTTGAGGCTTGCTGAAGGTAGCTTGTCCGTAGGAAGGAAGGCTTCCAGTTGCGCCGTGGGAGAAGCTGGGAGTATTCTCCTTGGACTTGCCAAGAGCGGGCTGCGTGTTGGAGGGGAAATCATCAGTGGTGCCATGGGAGAAAGTGGAGGGAGTGTCCTTGGACTGGGAAGAAGAGCTGTCAAAGCTGCTCTGGGAGAAGTCTTTGGACTGGTTTGGGTCGACGTGAACTGTCTTGATTGGTGATCGGTCGAAGCTCCCTGAAGTACCGCGAGAGCCCATGGACGCAAGATGCCTGGACTGTTCAGAAGTCTTGGACTCATCCTGGGGGAACTTAGAGGAAATGTCTCTGGCCTGAGTAGGTCCAGAAGAGCTGTGAGGGACAGTTGAAGTAACATCAGCACGATTCTCAGTCAGCTTTGAACCAGGAACCATGTTGACAGCGCGTTGTCTCAAGTTACCAGCTGTATCTTGAGCCATGGAAGAAATGCTAGCCACAGTACCCTTGGGGTCCTGAGCAATAGAGCCGGCTTGGTCGACAGCTGCGTTGCTAATCTCTTGAGCACGAGCCATGCCATCTCGGGCGATACCTCGTCCGCGTGGGGAGGTGACGAGAGGGATGATGTAGATGGTGGTCAGTCCGAGAATAGCGATGCCGAAAGGCGTCATAAATTGGATGAGGAAGTAAAGCGATCCAGTTGCAACGAATGCCTATTGACTGTTAGCAAGGGCTGATCGGGCGGCAAGGATTTACTTACACCAAAGGGCTTCTCCAAGTCTTCGGCGAAGATAATCTTCTGGGCTTGCACAACGGCATACTGAACAAAGTCATGGATATCCTTGAGGGTAGCGTTGAGAGTCGATTCTGGGACAGTCTTGTACTGTCGGGGTCGCATGCGAGACACAAAGTTGTTGGGACCAAAGGAACGACCGGCAAACTCGGCCATGGACATCACTGCATGGCATTATTAGCATCTGCAGAAAATCGGGCGTATTATTCAGTACCTCCAAGACCAATTGCCATAGTCTTGAGAACCAGCTGGGTGAGGTGCATGTTGTGGACGGCGAGCATGAAGCCCAGGGCGGCAAAGTATGATCCGATAGTTCGGGCGGGATCCTCCCACTAGACAGTGTCAGCCACCAGCCACGACAACGATGAAGAGGAACATACGCTGATGTACTTGTAAAGACTGTCCTGTTGAGCTGTGGCGCGAAAGTCAGAAAAATGAGACTTCTGTTCGATGACTGGCATCCTCTTACCAATAATATCCTTCAAGGGCCCGGAATCTCGGCGCTCGACATTGTTCTGCGACCTTGGGGCATCTTCGGCCAGGACTGGCTGGAAATTGTCTCGAAGTCCACTCATATTGGCTATCGGCTACCCGATTACTATAATTATATTATGATTCGTTTCAATTGATTCAATGATAAATGATAAGATCAGAAGAACACAAGCCACCCATCGAGCCAGCACCGCCCTTTATCTCTTCAGCTCTTTACCAGGACATACAAGAAATCTGGGGCTGAACTCTAGTGCGTCATGGCTGATGCGCTCATGATGATTTCTCCGCGTCGTGACATCAGGGCTGTCTCAGCCACCAGCCTACTTCTGGCCTAGACCTCATCCACCAACGTCTTGGTTTGCAAGCTACCAAGCTAGCTACAGGAGCTACTGAGCTAGCTCTAACTACACCCACGTCATTTCCATCGTCACCGTTTCAGATTATCGAGATCTAGATGAGGTATTGTTTATATGCATAGTTTCCGGCTAAGACGGCTGGTGAGAGGAAAAAAGCAGGATTGAGGGGGTATTTTGAATTCGTGGAATTCAAGGCTTGGAACTTGGCATACAGAAGGTTTGGGCTAATTCTGGGGATTGACATCATGATGGGCTTGGAACGGAGAAAAGCACACGACAGATATGTGTTCCATTGACGATGCGAAGGAAGTCATTCCTTAGATATAGCCATTCAGCCAATCCCTCCTGATCTTCGTCCGCAACTCGACCTCTTCATTGTGACTGGTGATCCAGACCCGCTTAGTGTCTCAATAGAAACCGGCTCGAAGATTGAGTTTCAAAACTCGGCTCCCATACCTCCAATAAACTCTCCTCCTCCACGACGACTCGGAGATTCTCTCCCTCTTAAATACCCACTCATTGCTCCATAGCACTAGCACCAACAGGTAGCCTGAGGCGAAATTTATCGTTGGTCTTTATTTCTGGTCCATGTGTAGCGGCGCCTGCGTGAGCCGTTTTCAAGCCAGTGGACACAGCGGGCTCAGAAGAGGCACCGTTCAACATTCTCTATATAGCCCAGATATTAAAGCCCTCTCCCTACTCCATCCTTACTTCTGGTCAGGTACGACAACTCCAAGAGCCTCGTCTGTAACACCAGTGCCTCTATAGAAGGTCAACGTGAAAAGGGCAGTAGTATCGTCATCGCTGCCGATGCTGCAGGTCAGCTAGACATCTGTGTCAGTGTTTGCCTGCTACGAGATCACAAGAATCTTACATTGATGTGCCCATTGGGAGTTGGTAGGGCCAGGTTAGTGACATTGGTAGAATACATATAACCGTAGAGATCCTTGTCCGTAGTGAGTGGTTTAGTAGACATGGCGACACGAGCGCTGTTAGCTTCGGCGCTCCAGTCCGGATCACTGCCGAGCAAGGCGATCCAAATTTCTGGGTTGGCGATTGTGTAGCCGCTGATTCCCGCAGAGCCTACCCATGGGGCTGCTGAGGCTTGAAATACGCCGCCTGAGCCAATGCTGTAGGGGTTGATCTGATATGGCAAAGCTTCTTAGTTGCAATCCACATGTCTAAAAGGACTTGAAGAGCAACAGACTTACAGTCTCAGGCCCAGAGTTGGTGTTGCCCCAATAAGCGAGCTGCCCGTTCGGAATGAGGTAGAAGGGAGTTCGGTTTTCAATATCGAAGGTAATCTTGTGAACCATCTTTGACTTCCTGAGTTGAGGGATATAGTAGTTGGGAGCCGGTTATTCGTTTTTGCGTGATGGAAAGTATCATGGACTGCGGCTCCTATATAAATATGCCAAATAAGTCGGGCGATTCGGACCTTTTTCTAGGATACTACTAGGCTATTGTAGATACTCTCCTGGAGTTCAAATTTCTGCTAATCTTGAAGCACGTCATGTTTCATTATTGATCTTGATAGACTATGTGAAGTCTCAGTGGAGAGGAATGTGGCGGGCTTGGTATCTTCCAATCAGCCAGCCACAGGAGAAACAAGCTTACTATAATCGCACTACCTTCTGTTGAGGACACGCAGCATCAGCTAAGTTGAGAGCTGTAAGATTTAAACGCATAAGATTAACTAGGCCCGAAGGATAGCCATATCGATCGCCGATTGTTGCATGGGCATTTGAAACATTTCGTCAAACAGAATGTGATGCGCTAGTCTAGAGTCAGCCATCTGAACAGATATTTCTGGTACAGGCCCGCTTCCGAGGATCTGTATTTCGACTTAGAAAGTTTCTCGAAGAAACCCAAGTCTACCATAAATAGATGATATATGCGGCCCAGGGTAAAGCGAGGTATGTCAAGCGATTGTTTGTGCGAAGGAATCTGCAAGAATAGGGACACCAGTATCTCTCTTTTTACTCTTCTAATATTCGTTGAAAACCTTTTCAACTATCTATCCCAAACATATTGCTCCTTACCACAATACCGTCAACTCACCATCAAAGAATACAGCAGCAACGCTCATTCTTTTCAGGCTTCCAAGTCCATCCCGGCAGAAGCTCCCAGTCCTCAAAAAAGTGTTCCTGCTCCATCTTGATTGTCAGACCCGTCATAACAACATCCTTGTCTTTACAGTCTGTGTTTACCGTCACCCTAAGCTTGTTAGCGATAATGTCAACCTCGCACTCCTTACCGCAGGCTGCTTGGAGCCGGTCAGCGTCACGCAGGATATCAGGTGAGTGATGCGGCTTACGCGCAAAACTTGCCTGTAGAATCATTCCAGACATCTTGAGGAGAACCTAGAAGAGTAAACTGTCAGTAAGGCTCAGATGGTAAGGAAACAAGTTGCAAAAGTTGTAATGCTATTATTACAGAGGATAGTTTAACAAATTGGAAATTCAAAGGGGGCAAAAAGTCTGTATTAAATACCATCAGAGCTATAAGATACATTATTGCTTGTCCCAAGGGACATTCCGTTGTTCAAATTACCATTCTCAGATGTTTTGTGAACATTGCGCTGTCAAGCTGGTAGAACGACAAATGCCGAACAGCCTGAACCGATTAACTGATGTTCTCCATATTCAAAAATCTGTTCACAGAAATATGAAGCTATTTACCAGTTCTGTTACTTGGACTTTTTAGTACTTTGAATAGGCTTATCTTCATTTGCAGTATTCTTCGACCACATACACCTTTTCCCTCTTCCATCGGCCACTTCGGTTTTCGGCGTAATGCCAAAGAGAAAAACCTTGCCCTCAAGAACTGAGGGTCTCAGTTTTCCCATCTTTGCGAAAGGCAGTTATTTCAGAGACCTCCCAGTCATTAAACATCTGCAACCTATGGAACGTTGGCCATATCTCGGCCTTCATTATCTGCGCATTATCATTCTCTTTCTCATAAGTGAACCTGATGGTCTTTGTTGCGTGGTCGGCACATGGCCTCATGTAAGGGTCAATGCATTCTTTGACCAAAGTCTCGGGGGTGGGGTTCGTCCAGAATTCTAAATCGCCCTTTTGCTTAAACACAACAACCATCTTAGTGTATGAGATTTTGGTCATTTTTGGTTAGAAATAGAGTGCTAGGTACTGGATTTAAGATAGCCGGTCAATGCTTGTGTATTGTAAAGTCGAACTCACGCCTCTAACGGACATTGAGGCTTTTATATAGTTCAATGCGTCGTGATACAGTGCTGGCAGATCTCTCTCGAGAGCCATGATTCGAATTCCAAGTGTCCGCTCCAAGTGTTTGTGATGCCTTTCTCTAAGCGAGTGTCAGAGAAACTCCGTATCAAAGTTTCAGTGTCACAATCATCCGCATTCTTCGTACACCGCAATCCAAGTTATTGTTATGATAGTGAGTTCTGAGAAGATCTTCTGTTCATGGTTGAGAACTGAATAGCTAACAACTGTTCGATGATAAGCTGGCACAAACGATCACTCAATTACCACTTCCCGTCTCGTTGATCTTACTACCGACAAATATTAAAAATATCACTGGTTTTGAGGGATATATTCGGCCCGTCACGGGTATTGGGCATCAGATTCAGTGCACGGACTTGAGTGCAGTTTTCCATTGAATCGGAATTCCGTGTCGACTCCACCCACGCAAGCTTGAATACATCTTGCCGATTGGATTAGTACTGTGTAGCCGAATAGCGTGCTACCTGCTTATGGATGAGTTTCCGGTTCCATTCGGAAGCAATGAGACGATGCGGTATGGAGTTTGTAAGCAGTAGACCAACGTGTTCCTTCAGGCGTCAGCGCTAGAGGAAAAGAGACGAGGAAGGGAATCCCACGCGCGGATCTTTACCTTATGAGGAGAGATACGCCGTGATAGCCAATCGTCGGCATCATAGAAAGAGCCTTATAAGAAACGTCAGAAAAGTATATATAACCATCGAATCATCAGACCAAATCTAGAACTTGTGAAATCTCGTGTGACTGAAGCCCCATCGGAAACCTCAATCTATCCACAATGAATCCACCCACCGTAACTATCAACGGTATCACGATCGTATGATGTATCTCTTCTATCTTTACTTCACCTTCCAACCAACACTTGGCAGCGAAACCATGCCAAACCCTACGAAGCCATCTCACCCGAACGACCTGAGTTATCGCAGGCTGGTCAAACCGTCCTTGTCTGCGGCGGTTCCACAGGCATTGGCCATGCAATTGCACGAAACTATTGCATTGCTGGTGCATCAGCCGTCATCATCTTAGGTCGCCGTGATAATGTTGCCGAAGAGTCCGCTTCCAAGCTGGATGAGGCTTACGCCGGCACCAAGGTGACCTGGCGTACCTGCGATCTGTTCAATAGAGATCAGGCTAAACAACTCTGGGATGTTTTAGAGAAGGAAAAGACTTTAATTGACGTTCTTATTGTCAATGCTGTTGGCCAGCCCGAGCTGAAGCCAATTCTAGAGCAAGGCACGGACAGACTGTGGCAAGACTTTGAAAACAATGTCCATGCTCCTCTATACCTCGTTGAGAGATTCTATAAGCAGCCGGGACACATCAAACAAAAGGTTTAGCCCCCCAGATCTACTTAGAATGTTTGACTGACGTGCCGATCTAGTTTGTTGTGTCGGTGTCAACTCAAGATATCCATCGTTGGGACAGCACGCCTCAGATGCCTGGATATCAACTGACCAAGAACTCCTTCGCTGTCGTCTTACAGCAGATCGCTCGTGATACGCCAGAGTCCAATATGCGCATTATCTCATTCCACCCATCGATTGTGTTTACAGAAGCAGCAAAGAAGGCCGGGTACACAGAGGACACTCTACCTTGGTCAGATGGTATGTTGAACCGCCGCCTTGCGCTCTGTACCAGTGGTTGACATATCTCAGAGAATATCCCTGGTGGCTTCGCTGTCTGGGCCTCTTCCCCAGAGGCGGAGTTCCTGCATGGCCGTTTCGTCTGGTCTACATGGGATGTAAATGACCTAGCATCTGGAGATCTCAGGAAGCAGATTGACTCGGATCCTTGGCTACTCAAGGTTGGAGTGAAGGGTTTGTAGGTTCGTGTCAGGTACTTAAAGCGCTGCGTACAATGGTTGTCTGTGCCAGGCCATATTTCTGCCTCTGCCTTACAATTGTCAAGAGATGCACGACTACCAAAGAGATAGAAACTAATTTAACTCACTATATATTACACTCTATCACATGATATGGCGAAGAGACATTAACTATTGATTAGTTTATACCTTTTGAGAGCATACATTCTTTTCCATAAACTCATGGACCGGGTCAAAGTCTTTCACGAGGAGCAAGTCAAATAAACCTACAAGTCAATAATCCAAAGCTACTAGCCAATCTTGCCTCGCCTCACATGCTGGTTTGGAGGAAAAGCGTATAAATGTTTATGTTATTGATGATTCAACGCATCCTCACGGATAACATTGATAGGATACACGCCTCTGGTATCGAATTATAGAAGAAATTGTTTATGACGAGCCCCCTGATCATCTGTGATCACCAGTCGATGGAATTCCCAAAACTTAAAAAATCCTTCCCTCTTCAGCGCTGCAAAAGCGCGGTCCATCACCTCCGGAGGGGTGTCTGTGGGAGAATTGATGTCAACATCAAGACTGCATCTCAATGTCCTAGTTTCCTGGTCGTAATAGCGTTGGTAACGTAGTGCGCCACATTCCCTGAAAGTGTCACGATCTGGCAAGTTACACTGGTATCCTTTGTCCTTGAAGTAGGCGTCCATTTGTATAGTGTCTGGTGCTGGTGCAGACATTGTGAGTGTGGGTTTCTGTGTAAGGGTAAAATGTATGAATTCTAGGGGGTGTTGTGTTGAGGTACGATCGAATGTGTTCATTTGCAGTTTGAGTCGTTTCGTCGTCAGTGTCTGCGGACTGAACGGTGCTCATATACCTGCAATAGAAGCTGCTAACAGTATGCAGCACACTTGCTTCACTGTTGTTCCACTACCAGTGATTCAAGCTTGTGAGGGGAGTTGGTGAAGCACGTAATGCCGAATTAGACTGGGATACCTTCTAGACTACCGTGATCAACAGAAGTCAGATGCTAATCACAGTGTAGTTCCCTCTTGCACAGCAACTTGAGTATGTCAAGCTTAGAAGCTAGCTTGATCCCGATCCATCGCTGCTCAAGGGAAGTGTCAAACACCGGATATGTGTTACATGGTAGCTCAGTGGCCGATGCAATAATCATTTATTTTGAGCTGTGGTTCTGTGCATTTCTCGGCCGCTTCAAATGGATACCACTACCAAAGATGCATCAACCTCATGGGATTACTCCGCAGCATACACGAGCTAAATATATGACATTAGAGGAAGTTTCGTCTTTCGAATACTTAAAGATACAGGTCCTCACTGTACGCCGATATGAGCGATTCAATGTGTTTGAGAAACCATAAGTTGTATGAGCCTGACAGTCCTGCTGTTAATGCAGTCTCAAACGTTACGGGTGACTGGAGAGATACTACTTCTATTAATCATTAGATGCCTGTGAGAGGCTGACGTTCTTTTTCACTGTCCTAGATATAACAAATACGCAATTTAACTCTCTCTGTCCCGCGTTAGGTTCTCTTCCTGATTTTACAGAAGAAACTGTTCATGTACGGTCATATTCGCATCAACGACAAAGATTCGATAGTAGTACCAGCCATTAAAGACGCCCATCTTCTTGAGAACTTCCCAAAGGAACTCCTTTGACTTTCTCGGGGACGTCATGGGTGAATCGACAGTGTAAAAGAGAGTGAACGTAAGTAACCCGGTTCGAGGGTCATACATCTGCCCACAAAGCGTCGTGCCACAAGCCTTAGCGAAAGCATCATTTTTCGGTACCTCGGACTTTGTTTTGTAGGGCATGAAGTGGGCTTCTAGTTGAATCAGGCGCGGGGCTGGGGCTAGCATCGTGCAGAATATGTTTCTTTGTGCGAGGATGAAAACACAAGGTTATGCTGGGGGGCTGTGTTCGCGCGTGTCCGAATGGGTTACTACACGAGCTTTTCCGAATGCCTCGACACACGCGGAGCCCAGCACATTCATATAGGCACCACGAGAAGTGCTGTTCATAACACGCACGGTATTGGTCCAAGAACAGTGATCGAACTTGTGAGCCTTGGATAGTGAAGCACTCGGTATCCAAAGCCAGGTTGAATGTGTGACTGTAGAGGCCACTGTGATTCAAAGAGCCGACGACACGTTCAGTGAAGCTCCCATCACACAAAGGAATCGTAGATACTGATTCATGAATATAGATATGAGCATCACAGTGCTGGATTGAAGCGCCTCACTGTCCCTGCAATTATTGCTGTGACTTCATCAGAGTGATGAAGAAGTCTATGGCCACTCCTCCGCCTCAGGTGGAATTATTTTCTCCTTGCGTGGATGACATTCGTCTTTCATTTGCGTTACATTGCAATCTTAACAAGGTTATGGAATGTCCATAAGCAATAAGATCTCTCGTGCTCAAGTCGTCTCACTTTGTGTCAAGAAGAGAAGTCAAAGGCCAATCATAACCATGCCACATAATAGTGTAATATTCTTTGTTCCTACTCCAAAGTATCGTCCTAATCACTTCGGTTGTGGGAACTGAGGTTTTGCTTGATAGCTGTCCAGGTGGATGAAACACCCGCGGTCGAGGGGAACAGACGATCGAGAAATTCCTCCAAAGTCGGCATTTTGAAAACCTTGAGTAGTCGCTCGTCGTCCAAAGCATCGAAAACCTCTCCCATGCTGGTCATGAGAAACAGTCCATGAACATCCCACTCCTCCAAGACCTTCTCCTTTCGTAGCAGATCCCATAATTCATCCTTCACCTTGCTTGCGTTATCGAAGTTGTCGTAAATTTGGAACTTGAGTAGCTTGGTCTCTTCGTCGTATTCTTGAGCTGATTCTCGTGCGTATTCATGCTTCTGGAAGATGTCGACTTTCGGTGGCTCAACCTGCGTCGTCTTTGCCTCAAAATGGGCTTCCATCATTGTGTAGATCTTTCCTACCATAATGACGGTGATCATGTCACAGTACCTGCTAATCGAGCAAATACCTGGGGCTGGGACGTTCAAATAATAAAGTGAACCCG